GGGCTGCATCGGTGGGGGTAATGAAATAATTTGGATATATCAACAAAGTTGAAATGGTAAATTGGCCACTGTAATGATTACAAAAGCTGACGTTTTGAGCGTTAGCCCTTCGTCAGAGCAAATAGAGGAATTGTGGGTTGTGTGTGCTTTTAAAGGCAAAAAATGGAGCTACGTTATTGGTGGGAACATGGCAACGAGAAAAACATGAATAAATTAGTGGAATGAAAAGCGTTCGTTGATCCCAGTGGGATTTAGACTGCCAGTTTGAAAGACTGCCAGCAGTCTAAATCCCACAGGGATCAACGAATACCAGTGATAGCTCCCCAGCATTGANAGAGTTACCTGTCATAACTTCCAACCACTACTGACTGTCCACTGGGACTACAGATTGCTACAGTAAACTCTTTTTCATCATCATCTCTGGTATAATCAAAGTTTTGAAGAACCCTTCCTAGGAGTAGAGAGAGAAAGGATCCTTTTGTGAGAAACAATAACATGATGTTGGGTTTTTTTTTTTGTTTTGTTTTGTTTTGTTTTTTTAACAAATATTACATTAAAGCTTTCATGGAAAAAAAGTGGTCAGAGGAAAACAATATTAAAAATTAGGCGTGTACCACGGGAAGCCATGTTCTAAAGGTCAAAATTTAAAATGAAGAACCTAAAACTAAAATTTTGTGAAGGGAACAGAACTGGCATAAAACCAATGAATCTGGTTGGGGAATAACACAATAAAATCTTTCAATAAATAAATATGAGAAATGTTCCTTGCTATATGGGTCATATATATGTTCAACTCTTTAACACCCAAGGTCTGACATTCAATTCTCCCTTCTAGCTGCCGCACATTTTCTTGTAAATTAGTTATGAGAATTTGGTGTTAGATCAAAATTATAAATTCTACCTGATAAGTTTGAGTATTCTCATTACCTGTTTGCTGGATAATGAAACGATATCACAGGCAGAAGTTACAGGTTAGTCACTTCTGGGAGCTAAAGGTTTTACTCTACTAAAACTTATTACCTTCTTTTCCATATGCTACAATCTTTTTGTCGCAGCCAGCAGCAACAATTGATGAGCCCCAACACAGGGCATATGGAGAACAAGGATGCTTACACAACTGACCCTAAAAATATCAAACAAAAGGTGAATCAATGAAATAGGGTTGGTTATTTGATTGTCTTTTCTTCATTAGGCAGTGCTCTGGACTAAATTAGGCAATACCAGTAATTCAATCTTAACATTTCTGCACAAACAAATGAAGCCATGCCCATTGCAGGTAAGCTGAAATTTTGGCAATTGCAGAAAAGAGGCCTCAAAAGATTCAGGCTTCCGCATAAGTGGTTTGTTTGAAAAAAATCAATGTTTTTTTCAGCGCAAGACTATTTGACACTGTTTACTGGAATCAATGTTTATTTTCAATATTTAGCTGAGTTAATAATGGTTTAGAATGCAGTTTTGTGAAACAAAAGCTGAAGATCATTTATTTAGACACCCAGTCCTTGGTTTCTCAAAACCTTACTGCAAGAATAGCCAGCAAAAGATCAAAGATATCAAGCATCTGAGGCAATGACTGTGCATGCACCCTACAGAACTCACCTGTGATAAGCCTGTTCCTTCATCATCAAAAAAGTACCTTACAATAGCACCATCTATATGACCAGAGAGAATTCCTTTCCCTGAGACACTGTAAGGTATAATAATAATAATAATAATAATAATAATAATAATAATAATAATAATAATAATAATAATAATAATAATAATAATAAAAAACAGATGCTGTTGTGATACACTTTAGTGCTGAAAATTTAACTCCTACATCACTCACCTCTCTGGAGAGTGAATTCCATCTGGAATACTTTCACCAATTCTTTTTCCTTATTTGCTCAAAATAGTCATTCCAACCAGAATACTTTCACAATTCTTTTTCCTTATTTGCTCAAAATAGTCATATCTCACTAAACATCGGATAGACTATTTGAAACTTATAACTACTTCACTATGTAATCCTTGACATTTTTTGTTTAGCACATATGAGGATCACAAAACTTACTTTGCAGCAAGAGAAACAACATAATTGTCAGTTCCATAGAGTGTAGTTGATTTGTTCGTTTTAAGGTTAGCAATACGGACCTGTGAAGATAAAGAAGGAAGTTATGGTATACCATCATGTGACTAAATCATTACAAGTTAGTAGCAAATACAATCATTAATTTGTTGTTATTAGAGCAAGCTCAAGTTTGTTATCACCTACATACCAGGTATTGCATTGCAGAAACTGTTATTGAAAAAGAACCTTTGTAATAAGTGTCTGCCAATTTATTTAATTTCACAACACCAATCAACTTACCTTTCCATCTGCTAAGCCAAAGACAATGTTCTGTTGCTCAGGTGGCCATATCAAGCACGTAACAGGACTCTATAAAGAAAACAAAAAAAAAGTCAGTTTACTAGATTGGAATCCAGCTTGCCAAAGCTTATCCACATCTACCGGTATGTAGCATGAGAGGAATGGTAACATTGCTACCCTCTGGATGGGATGCTACTCTACAGCAGGTCGTTACCTCCCCTTGATGGGTTGCCAGTCCTCAACAAGTTACCCTCCCTGAATAGGATGTTAATTTGCAGTAGGTTGACCCTCAACTCCACCTTCCTGCAGCAATTTATCCCTAACAGTTCACTGATACTCATTCATAATCTTGAGTGAAGAGAGGCACTGGGTGAGAGTAAGGTAAAGTATCCAGCCCAAGAATACACCACAATAACCTAATGACACTAGAACCTTGATCCCTTGACCCACAGATCACCCATCTAGCCCTCATGTCGGTGGACCACAGCACATTAGCAGCACCCGGTCTAAAACAATGTCATATCACACAAAGTCAAGATTTACCAGTACACTGAAACAAGATACCCCAGCAAGTTCTTTCTGGCACAAAACTGAAAATGAAATATCAACAAACCTGTTGGACAAACTTGTTGCAAATAACTTTTTTCTCACCCCTAAAATGTCAGATAAAAGAATCAAATTAATGGAAATTAAAGTTTCTGCGATGTATTACTGCTATTTTCTTGTCCTCTTCACTGATTGTCTTTGCTACAAGCAGTACACAAGACCTTATTTCTTCAATCTAAATTTCATTATTTTGTAAATATGATATCTATTCAGTTGCAGTATTTCTGAGAGTTTGTTAGTCCATACCATTCTTCTCCGATTTTGTACACAAAGATAATGTTGTCAGTTTGGCCCACAGCAATCTTTGTAGAGTCTGGAGAGAAGGCAAGTCCTTTTACAATGTAGCTCTTCTTTCCTGCCTGAGAAGGGAATTTACAAGTTAGAACTTATAGTAAATAGTGTTACAGGATGGTAGATATTAAATAAGTGGGGATGTACGTTGGAAGTGGAGACATTGCAAGACAAATGATAATACTTCATTACAAGTGCATTCACTATTAAGAATAACAATTTTTTTTCATGATATTAGGGTTAAACTATTAAACAATACCTGGGAATTTGCTGGTTTTGTTGAAAACTTATCTCTTCTCTCTCCCAGCTCATCATACAGTATAACTACTCTGTCCATGGTGACAACAGCCATCTTGGTGTTGTTTGGTGACCACGCCATTGCTGTAACCTTACAGGCCCCATCCTTTAATTTCAAAAATTTAGTTACCACGTCACTTTATTGTAACAATCACTTCATGGAGTGTAACAACTATCGTAACACCAATATAAGTTATTATCCTTTACAAAATAGCTGAGACACTGTGGGCATCTTGATTGGTCAATAACCTATCAGGGCTCGACACTAACTTTTCAACTTACAAGCCAAGTGGCTATAGTGACATCTTAGATGTTACCACAATTTCAGTTTATTTACTAGCCAAACTGGCTAATGGAAATAAAAAACCACAAGCCAAAACTGAATTTCTACTAGTCTGTGGCTAGTGGGCTACCATTAGTGTCAAGCCCTGCCTATTACTTATTGCACCTGTAAACCCATACAAAATTAAAGTTTATTAGATAAAGGCAATAGAGTGCACTTTCTAATTCTAAAAGTTTGTGGATCACTTACTTCTGGTATGTGACTCATAACATTTTCTAATGTTTTGCCGACTTCCTACTTGGGTCATCACTCTGGTAACCCACTAGAAAGTGCCATCTTTTGCTTATTAATTTTTAGTCATGCCCCATAATCAACAGCTTTTTTTTTTAACTTGAGCTAGATTCTTTACAATGCATGAACAAATTTTCTTTTTCACTATATTATATTCTTTTCTACAGTAAGCAGTTCATCTTTCAACTTGTATTGAAACAGCACAAAAAAACTAAAAGAAAAGTTGCAAGAAAAATTGCCTGATATTTAAAAAATATCTCTCTTTTAGCACGCAGATGTCATTGTCGATCAACGTAAGTACATTAGCTAAAAAATATCTAACAAAGTTTATACGACGGTGTCAAATTTTTTCACCAAAACCTATGGGGAATAAAACAACTGAGACAACTGACTACTGAGCTTAATTTGGGTCCAATGGAAAAAAAAAAAAAAAGTAACCTTGTTTACATAATAAGTTCTGGAAGAACTTCGCGAAACGACAAAGAGTGCCATTGAAAAGTTAAAAAACAATTTCCTGTGAGTGCATTACATACATCATTGCTATCTACAAGAGACAACAGATCAAAATCGGAGCTGCAACTTGACAGCGTTCATGATACATGGCAACACGAAAGCTTTAATTAAAAGTCGTAACTCTAAAACAAAATCAGAAAAGGAAGCTTCTTATACCTGTGGGTTCAGAAGAGTCTTCATATAACGTAGCTGCATTTTTAAAGTTTATATTTCTCAGATCTCCCAGTAAAGGTCTGGTTCAATTTGTATTTTTATGACTGTGCAGCCGCCATGTTTTTACCGCTTGAGGTATCTGATGTATCATGTATCCTAGATACTGGCTTCATTAGTCCAGCGGGTGACCCCATGGCAGCAGATCACATGATTTTAGGAAGATTCTCAAAACACGATGGTTCCATTTCTCTCCAAGTCTTAATATACTTCAGTATGTCTCTAAATCTTCGCCGATTTTCTTTAGGCTGGTCACTTTTCTATTTTTTATTTATTTTAAATACGAGGTTCGGTAGTTTTCAAAGGCAATGGACACACGATCCAAAAAAAGTTGAGATTTGTAAGTTGAGTTCTTGCTTCGATGTAGGCCACAATGTTACTACGTTCTGTAAAGTAAATGAAACTACCATCGGGCGATGTTGCGTGAGTAATCGGACAGGAGTCATTGGGTAAGTTGTTGTATATTATACTCTTTATTTTTATTTACCTTTTGAACATTTCTATCAGCTATGTACATCAAGTTTCGCCATGTTTGCAATATACCGGCTACAGCATCATTCAATGCATTCAACAGTAGACTACTGGGTAAAACTTAGAATTAACTTTTCCGAAATTAAACCCTGTATTCGCAACAGCCAAGGAGGTCCTGCATAGGAAAGTGCCTTGACAATCCAAGCATTGAAAAAGTGCATGTGTCTAATTTAGTCAATTTAGAGATGATTTGGTGGAGTAAAGCTGTGTGACTTTTCAAGACTCTCCTGTTGTTGTGTTTCTACAAGATATTCTTTTTTTTCGGATGGGAAAAATTGGCAATCAGAATTATAATCGATAGTAAGACAATCTAAGTTTTTATCATGGACTCCAATAAATTTGACAACTACACTTTTGATTACCTTGACAAAACCTTAAATGGCTACCTACATGAGCTGATGTGCACAATCTCCCACATGCCTTTCTTTGGGATGTGAGTGAAAGCACAAGGTTTTTACATAATTTCGTGAGATTCTGTTAAGTTCTGCCTCTCTCTGCTGACTTGTCAGTTTAAGGATAGGGGCATATTTGGGATCTCTCACTACTGGAGTGGGTTTTCTTTTAATCCATTATGCGGTTCATAGAGAATTGGCTGAAAGATCATGAGTTGGGAGCTACTTTATTCCATAAACAGTAAACCATACACTAACACATTCACCATGATGGCAAACTCATGCTTGATCTGATTCAATCTGACTCCAGAAATTGTAAAACTGGATCACAAAAATCAGTCTCTAAAAAATAAAAACTTTGAAAGAGTAATGATGATCTAAAATTTGGTGGAAATTGAAAAGGAATCATGCAACATTGTAAACACAATCCTCCACCCTTCTTAAGATCCATTTTAAATGTATTTAACAGAAATATGTTACCTCTTGTTTTCAGGCTTGACCTTACTAACTGCTCCTTAAAAACTTTACCAAGCTTACAATCTGTGAAGACATCATTAAATCAGTTGTAAGTACAGAATATTCCAAATATAATTTATTGAAACCATTACCTCTAACCAGAAAGTAAAAATCCTGTTATTAGTTCAGTTTCAATTTCCAACCTCCTTTCTTTCATAAAGGGAGTAAGATTCTATAGAAACTGGTGCTGCATTAGTTGGGAGTCATCATCAATCCTTTTCATGCCTCGTGGCACATAGGGCCTTCACAGAGCTTTTCCACTCCTCTC